CTTCTTTCGTGTACCAATCACCATTCCTGAGTTAATTTGAAATGGGTTGCCTTCCCAGCGTGATAATTCGTCTTTAAGTATTATCTCTTTACGTCCTTTAGTGTTTCCACCCTTGAATCTTGAGAATTTATGGTGTTTGAAATATTCTCCGGTAATCTTCGAGTCTTTTTTTTTGAGAAAAAAGAAAACTGAGAAAAAGCGCTTTGGTAAAGACTTTTGACCGCTATTGTAAGTATATTGCAGATCTCCGACCTTAATTCAACGATTGGCGAATGGTGCCGCTGTATGTATCCAAGGCCTGCTTCTGATTTTCATACTTCTCTCCTTAGCCAAAATCTCCTTCATCCTATACAACAAGGTATTCATTTTAATAACCATTAGTAGCAATAGATAAAATTAGAGTATACCTAAAAAAGTCACATGTCACTTTGATTTTACTAAGCCAAAGCATTAATTTGGTTGGCAAGAAATTCAAATTCAAAAATTCGATGAAAGGCACATTATTGAACTGTTTCAAAAAAGTCAGTAAATCCAACGGAAGTATTTGATCGTGGCTTTTGCCTTGACGCGAAACATGAGACGATAAAGAAGCGTTCCAAACGTTACGAGTTCTAAGGAGATTACTTAGACTACGGTAAACTATGGAAAATTGTCAAATAATGATTCAAGACAGAAGTGAAGATTATGAAGCATAATTTTGAAGATAAATCGAAGTGCTTGCTTCAGTTGAAAGTAGACTTAAAGGTTCTATTACTGCTGGTAGTCGGTAAAATGGTGCTCAAGGACAGGGTCAACCGTCACGTTGGACCAATTTCGAAAATTTTACGACCCCCCTCCCCCTTCTAGAGGGCCTCGATACGACCCCCCCCCTCAGGGTCAACCCTTCACGACCCCCTCCACCACCATGAGACTCAGGAGGCTCCACCAATAACGACCACCACCCTTCTCCACCCTCACCATCATGGCTGATTCTATAGTATTTGATTCTGAGACCAGTCGACACAGCCCAACTCCGCCCACTTTTCCTCCAAAATTGCCGTCGAGCGGGGGAGGGGGAAACGGCAAAATTTTAGCGCACAAAACCTACCACAACCAGCGCCGCCAACAACCTAATCCGTCCGCCCTCCGTTCCACGAAAAATCATCCCTTCCCTTGCTGTAACATTGACGCTGCTTCCAACCTTGCGAAATACGACCCCCCCTCTTTTCCATCCCCCAAATACGACCCCCCCACCCCTCGTTGGACTTTGTCCAACGGACGGTTGACCTTGCTCAAGAAACGAAAGGGGTTCCCCACTCCATAGAAGGAGCGATAATGTCATCAAATGTATTTTTCATCTTCAGGGAAATTGGTCACAGAAACTTTCCCACGTGGATAGCTTGGGAAGTGGAACAGAACGATATGTACAGATGTTTCAAGACTTCATCGACAGGTAAATAAGCCGTTTCATTGAATTTGAACTCAAAAAATTCTACTCTCAAAGGTAATGGGTACAGTAACTGTGACTTTGGGAACTGTGTGGAAGTGACTGTCCAAAAGGGGAAATGACTCTATAAAGGCAGACTAGGTGTCTAAACCGCACCGATATATGACGCTGCTTGCAGCGAAAGATGAGCTTGGAGCGACTCCTTATATGCATGCATCTTGTCCCGCTTCAATAGTAGCTCGCCCGCAAGGTTGCCCACCGTCTGCCACATTGTTTCACTGCAGCATAGCAGCAGAAAACGCCCCATTGACCCGCATATACTACCGAGGACTCATCCAGATCACAAAAGGCAACGCAATATGAATAAATCAATTATCGAAGATTTGATCTGTACTTCTGGCTTGTTTTCGCCTCACTTATCATTTACGCATTTTCAATCCCGCTTGCTTTTTTCGCTGTATTTTCGATTTCATAGTAGTCAGGGTGGGATGAAGTAGAGTTTCTTGTTTGAGAGTAGCGTGCGATAGCCAGCCCATACACTACTATGATGAGGAAATGAGAAAGATAGCCTTCATAAGTCAAGAGGCTATCGAGTTGCCGCATCCTTCCAAATTCGGCGACTGGACCTTTTGTGCGTCGCCGTTTATTTCTTCGCCCAATTTATAGACCGATGTCAGACTTTGCGAATCGCGCGATTCGCTAGCGTCTGCGGTCGCGTCGCGGCCAGTGAATCACTCAATTGGCTGGTACCGCAACGCGACCGCGGACGCGCTAGCGAATCGCGCGATTCGCAAAGTCTGACATCCCTCCTAATCATCGCCGTCCGGAAAGTCGAACCCAGTGAACTGGAGAACGCAGATGTACAATGCCGTCATTTGAAAGGCCGTATCCCAGCTCACCCAATCTTCTCCTTCCCTGCCCCTTCCGGCAATATTTTCACTGAAAGTTCAAGGCGGTACATCTCATCGTTCCAGTTTCAACAAGTCCTACGCTTCTGACGAAGAAAGAACATTCCGATTTTCGGTTTTCGTTCAAAATGTCAAAGATTTTGAAGAGGAGGAACGTAAGTATCCCGGTCTGGACCTTGACGTCACGAAATTTGCTGATTGGACGGAAGAGGAAATGATTCAGGTACGTGCGAATGATGCGCATTCTAATGAAATCGCAACCACTAAAATTCAAATTTATAAAATTCAGTACTTGTCCGGAAATCTTCGAGAGCTACGATTCGATGGGCCGCGGTTTGAAGGCACCCCACAGCGAGATGGTTTCAAAAGACCGGCTGAGGTAGATTGGGCAAAAGCCGGAAAACTCACGCCCGGTTAAGGACCAAGGTATATTTGCTGAGAACGCTTCTCAACATTGACGGAATCATTCGGAGTACACTACAAACTTGATTCTGTTAATAATCGTGTATGTGTTTGAATGCATGGTTGATTCCAATGACTGAGATTGCCTGTAGTAGCTCGTGCATTATGTTTGTCAATCCATGATCATTTGAAAACAACCGAACAAGGACAGACTTAAAGCAACAGTCCCAGCAGGGTTTTTACCTTCGACACTAATGGTGTGGAACGATGCGCTAGCCCTAGTCAAGAACATAAGAAGTGTGACTGAACAAAAAACTCACCTTGGAAAGCCGCTAGAAAGGGAGCTGAACGGCTTCGAAGTGGGCGTGGTTGGAAGTCGGCCGAGGGGATTGCCGATAACCACGCCCACTTCGAAGCCGTTCAGCTCCCTTTCTAGCGGCTTTCCAAGGTGAGTTTTTTGTTCAGTCACACTTCTTATGTTCTTGACTAGGGCTAGCGCATTCCACACCATTAGTGTCGAAGGTAAAAACCCTGCTGGGACTGTTGCTTTGAAGGGCTCGCGTTCCAACCCTATCACTTACAGACGCTTGTCACTATTTCAGCTCCACAAGCCAATAAACAACTATTTCATGGGAGAGGGACCATTTCTACGTCAACGGCCTGAGAGCGCTGAGATGATTTATGAAGTTGGGATAGCATGGCGGTAGTCAGGTAGCAAGTCTCAGAAACGTCCTTCAGC